ACTACTGTAAGATGCGTTTTTTTTTTTTTAATGTGATTTTCTCAGTAGGCCTATTCCATAAAAAGAAAAATTAAATACTCGAATGTGGCTTGGCAGGAAAGCAAAATTATATATCGTATTATACGATATATAATTTTGATTCTTCTTTTCGATTCTTCTTTTTGAGGAATAGGCCTGGGGAAATCACATTACAAAAAAATGCATCTTACCAATAGTACCTCACGGATGATGTGGAAAGATATTGTCGAAATATACGTTCACATAATTATTAATGTATTAGATTACTGTAATGTATTAGAAAACTATGTTAAGATATAAGTATATCATTAAGGAACAATGAATAAATTAACAATAAAGATTATGTTGATAGAAATAAATTATTTAATAAAAAACATGTTTCAATAATAATTTGGCGGAAGGTGCGCTCCCATATATTTCTGGTATATGGATGCTCCTGAGCGTCACGTGAGCACTCGGCTTGGTTCGGTGATGAGGGTTTCTCGGCGGAATCAGTTTGAAATACAAATTTTTGCGAGTACTATATGAGTTCTATGTAGCATAAAATTATAAAACAAGGTGACTTAATGCTAGATGTAGTTTTTTAACTATTAGATGTAGTTTTGAATTGTTATATATTAATAATTAATTTACTTTTTAGCAGTATATTTAGACATATTACCTCAAATTCCTGTGTGAAACGAGAAAAATATCGTATTGGACTTTTCATATGATTCATAAAAACTGCAGGCGCGAGACTAATCATCATTTGCACCATTCGAGCAATTTCTGGACGTTCCACTGCCATTACATAAAAAGAAGTTGTACCCATCGAATGACCAATGTATGTGTGCAATGGATGTGATGTTATATTCGTGATATATGAAATCATCGCAGGTAAATCATAGATGCCCATTTCATGAAAGCTAACAATTTTAATCGATATAGATATATCACAAAATATATAACATATATAACAAAGTATATATTATAATATAAAATAAAAATAGTATTATAATTAATTAACTTTCATTTTTTTACTATAAATTATAGTGACAAGAGCATTGTCGAGCAGTTCTCTAAAAGAAATCGAATATATTTTTAAAAATTGAAGTTATATTAGGTGTTGGAATTAGTTCGTAGCGTTTTTTAATGAAAGAATGTTATTTATTTCACATGAGCATTAAAAAATACATTAATGAAAGTACTTCCCATCACTTGTAAAACGCTACGAATTAATTCCAACACCTAATATTTTAAAAGTTATTACATGATTAAAATATTTAGTTAGTAAGTATGACAACCAATTACTATTATTATTTATAACTGTTCGAGACATGCTTTCTACGAAATTCGTAGAAGATTGGATAAGATCTCCCAAATTTTTCAAAGTACATGCCAAGACAACTACTTTAAATAAATATTTATTTTTCTTGAAGCTTTATTTCATGATATTAACCAAATATTTTCAATCGGATTTACAATCGGAGATTGAGAAGGTTAATAATCCATCATTATGTTATTTTGTGAAAACCTCGTAGAAGCATATCTCGTGGAAAGTATGAAAATAAGCTATATAATCAATAATAATCGTGGATGCTATATACTACATAATGCATATATACTTTTAAAATATTTTTATTTTTGAATATCATTTTTAACATATTCGGTTATTTCTTTCAAAGAACTGCTGAACGCTGCTGATGCTCTTATGTTATTGATTATAAATTATTATTTCAACTATATCATTTTTAACGCACTGTTATTTTTTTATTTTATAGTGTGAGTACCTGAAATTCCAAAATCTTGAATCCGATGGAGATAAAGAAACATGTGCCCTTGAGTAAGTATTCCCACGAATATTGCCCAACCAAACATCGTAGCCTTGATCAGCCAATATGAAAGCTAACATAATCAAGAAAACATTGTTTACAGTAGCTATTTAGATGACAATATTTTGGCTTTATAATGTTACATGCATAGTCTAGCTATACATCTGATTTTTTTCTTATATATTAATCCGATTTTACATAAAAAAAGTGAAATTTTATTTAAAATCCAGAAGAACAATATCTAATCTTAATAGTCAAAATTATTTGCATAAACAATATAATATTAAAAGGTAATAAATAAAATGCCAATTTGAGCCAACACTGATTATTAGTGTGTATTTATACCATTTATTCAAAATGAATAGTAAAGTGTATACGTTTTGACCTACGGTCAAGGTCCTCTTCAGTACAAAGAAAATTAAATGTAAATATTAAATATAACGATAGCGCAAACAGTTTATCCTTGGTTATTTATTATTTATTATTTATACTTATCGTCATTGTAAGTACATATTCTGTTGTCTACTGTTTCTCTCAATTTTCATTTTACATTCGTTTAACAAACAGTTATGTCATGTTTAATAACTCTTAATTTAGTAAGTGAACTGAATTTTGATATTAACCATTATTTATATTAATTTTTTAATTTATATTTGTATTTATGCAGTAAATGAAACAGTCTAATGGAACATATGCAAACAACCTTATAGAAATAAATCAATCTTGATAATCATGTAAGTTTAATTTATCATATTTTGTGTGGAAAATTTTATGTTAGCAATTAAAAATATTTTGTAATTTCTTTTGGTCTCTCGATTTAAAACAATAAAATTTCTTTCTTTTTGGTAAACTTAGTAATTTAATGACCAAGATTAATTCGGACATTACTATCACAGTTTTTTGTATTTTATACTTTAATAGTTTATACTTGTATGCGCTATCATTATGTAATTAGTATTTAATATTTACATTTAATTAATTTTCTTTGTATTGAACCTTGACCGTAGATCGAAATGTATATGCTTTACTATTCATTTTGAACAAAATACACACTAATAATCATTGGCTAAAATTGGCCTTTTATTTATTATTTTTTAGATTTTTTCTTTAGAGCCTATTGATTATCTTGTCTTGAATATAATATTAAAAAACTAAAAATAAAAACTTTCAAAAACCGAAATGCGTTATAATTTGCATTAGACATATTAAATTTTTTTGGTACGTTGAAATTTGAGAATTTATCTCGACATTTTTCCGAAGCATGATCGATGATTTCTTTAAATTGAAGGTGGTACCAAGTCCTTTATCCTTGCCGGCAATGACCCAGTCGGCAGAGCTGCACAACAAACCATGCTGCAACAACACTGGCTGATGCTCGTTACTTGGGATACGATGAAGTGTTAAAAGATAACCATCCTGCGTCTGTATAACATGAGCCTCTGCAGGATAACCAGCTTTTCTTATCATTTGTACCTGGGAAAAATGAAAATGGTTTGTTTATTTTATCACTAGATACAAATCACGATCTTAAAATTTATCAAAAGTTCAAATTTATCAAGTTTATTATGATAATATACAGATTGTCTTGAAATTCACGAATCAAAACACTACAGTAAAAAAGTGTTCAAAAAATTAAGCCTAGTCACAAGTGATCTTAAGATTCCATTGAGATTTTAAATATAAGATATCGTATTATAAAATCTAAAAATCAGAATATAGAAAAAATATATTTATTTACTGTATTAAGGTTGGCATCGCTATTAAATTTGGCGCTGTTCAGTTGTTCTTTGCTATTCCGCATCGTATTCATGAGCGCGCTCGGCGAGATGTCTTGTGGAATGTCGAATGTCACGGCTGCAAGGTTGTGAACCAAAAGGAATGCTATCACGATTTGGCACATCATGTCGGCGATAGGATTTGAATTTGATAGAATCGACGACGAAAAGATTTGAATTGGATCACGGATCCCCCGAAACGTTAAGCTGTAATAATAAAAGATGAAAGAGAAAAATAAAATACGACTGTGTTCTCTACAACTGAGCTCTTCTTGTTTCTGTCACGATATTTATACGTCTAAGGAACACTAATGAATGTGTACATCAATCGGAAAAGAGACAGAGAGAAAGAAAGAAAGGAGGGGAGGCGCGATAATAGAACAAATGGAATTATATTACTCATTATAGTCTGATAAATATGAAAATTGTCCATAATTGAAAAATTAAGATACACATGTAGTTATTAGTGCTAGTAATTGTAATAAGTAGCTAGACGAGCAATTTATTCTTCTCATTTGTATTCTACGTATAGTTAGAAGGAAATATTTGTTTTGATTGGAAAATTTTACATTTCTTTTGAAACACTTTTTAATAAGGCGTGTCGTGTTTTTTAGTAGTTCGATTAATTTTGCGTTTAGATTGTTTTAAGTCTGATCTCTCATAAGTTGACATTCTCTCATAGTCCAATTTTATATTCAAGATCGTCAAGTCAAGTTTGATCCTAGACACACAATTTTATGATATTTAATTTTAGTCAATAAAATGAACACTCATGTTTCTGGATGCATCTAGAATATACCCTTTAATATCACTTTCAAGATAGATACGAGGGGTATCCAGAAAATAAGTTCCGTTTGTATTATACATTTAGTAAGGTCGATGTATGAGCGAGCTGGCAACACAGCATTGAAGAGGGGAAGCTACCGAATAGAATGAGCGGTGTTCGGCGTCAGTAGCTCGTGAAACACGGTCAGGAGAGGTTATCAAAATGGAGTCCTCTACTTCGCGTCCCGCCACCTCCATTCCGATTCCTTCTCGAGTTGTTTTGCGCGGCATCATTCAGTTTCTTTTTGCTCAAGATTTTAAATCGGTTGATATTCACAAACAGCTTGTTTCTGTATATGGAGAGAGTGTGATGAGTGAATCTATGGTGCGGAGATGGGTCCGAGAATTTAAGGCAGGAAGACATTCGCTTGAAGACGAAAGTGGGAGAGGCAGACCCTCCCTTATCACGGATGAGTTGACGACAAAAATTGAAAATGCGATTCGCAATGATCGTCGTTTAACTTTAGATGAACTCCACAACCTTTTTCCAGAGATTATTAAATAATTGTATTATAATTAATACTGCTATACGTGCAGTATGTTCCTTGGAAAGAAAAGGAATAAAAGTTATATAAAATAAAAGTTTTAATTAAAAAGAACATAAAATTATATAGAGTTTACAATAAAATTAATTACGAATTAGCTGTAAAAATTGAAATAGAATATTGTAATAAAGAAATGTGTTATAGAATGTATTTAAAATTTAAGTTTTATTTTTTTAAATAAAATATTTAATTAGATATTTGAAGTTACGAATATTAAATAAAAAATAAATATTTATATTTTTTTGCGTATTTTATTTCATTCTTGATTTCTTGTTTTAACTTTTAATTCGATAAATTTTTAATTCTGAAACTTAAATTTATTTATTTACTAGTGGCATTTATAACATCTAATCAAAATAATGTTGTAAAAATTAATTTATCGCTATTCTCTTTCTTTTGATAAAATTAAAATAGTGACTAATTAATTTTTATTAGAAAAGATTAATTTATTCAATTTAAAAAACGATTATATTTACCTGCACAAATCATTCAAGTATGATATTGTATTTATAAACTTCTACTTAATATTGATAAAAAAATATAATAGTCTTGAATTTTTCATCGTTCTTTCTTCGTTAATGAAATTTATTTAAATTTATAATCAATTTAATATCGCGCGCAAACCTTACGTTGCTTCCATTTTATTAAATCTTTTTACGATTCTCGAGTCTCGATCTATACATACATGTATCGTACGTGTTTACTTGAGCTTCATCGATTTTAAAAGTTCAACGTTTTCGTATGTTTTTGGCTTTTCCTATAACTCGATACAAACATACATGTTCTGGTAAGAAAAAAATGTTTTGTCAAGGAAATAAATATCAGTAACCGATAGCTCTTTTAACGAATAATAACCGCCACAAGTACATGTGTCAAGATCCTTGTTTGTCGTTCACATTCCCGCGTGACGGTTAATAAAGAATACTTAGATAGTGCAGCTGAATCACCGTCTAACGACTGTAAATTCGAGCAAGGTATTTTAAAGTTTTTCTAAGTTTATCTGAGTTTATCGTCTTCGATTTCATCATGTGGATAAATCTACAATTGAAAGTGCCGGACATACACATTAACCTCTAATCGACCAATTGCGTAAAAAAGTGAAAAGGAATTAATGATTTCCTAAAAACGATTCTAGAAGTCAAAACATAAGTTTGTAACTTATGTCTTATTATTTATATTTTACTTGTACATTTATTTATATACTTATATATTTAAAATTTTATGTGTATATATACTTATATATTTTATGGTCTTGCACTACCGCGAAAAAGGAATTTAGCCAATAAAATATAAGTAAAACGTTAACAAACTGCTAGTAATTTATTAGCATTCCAACAGAATATTTAGCAACAAATTAGCATCAATTGCATATGCATTAAAATCATGTTTTACCAGTAGAGTCTACTGTAACCTGCTGACATATAATCTGGTAATGAGAGGAAATCAAACAGTAAAAATCCAGAAATCAAGTATCTATAATTTTATAATCATTTAAACGTAATATATCGTTTAGGAATTTATGAAAAGGCAAATTCTGCTTGATTTCTATAGTCAATTTATTATCATATTGTCTTAACGATTTTCTTCCTGTTCATTCTTTTAATTCATTTTTGTTCTGGCATTCTATTTGTTTGCCAATTTAACAAATATTTTTTATAGAATATGTTTTCAATAAGCTGTCTAAGATAATCTTATAAGAGTTGTTTCTTTTGTTAACAGAGAATACGCCAGGATGAATGAAGCTATATTGCCTCCTTCGCCAAATTGGTATTTGAGCAATATCCTTGCTTGCTCTAGACGTGGAACTGTGGCATGGGGCGCGAGGAACTTTGTCGTCATTGCCAGGCAGAAAGAAGACAATGTTATGCAGTATTCTGTAATCAAGGATTATTTTAAAGACAAAGTAACTGCATTAGCATTTTGTCCTAAACTTGATAATCCAGACAGTCCAGAGCTGTTAATCTGTGGCGGTGATGATACCAAAGCTAGAGTTTGGAATGTGGATACATTGGAGTTGGTAGCGGAATTTGCTTTTGTCGATGTAAGTGGCAGAAAGTAATTAAATATATTCCATAACTGATAAACGTATGTAACGATAATCCTTTAATCAGGCATATCATTTGATTAATTATTTATGTATTTTGTTATTAATATAAGTATTAATATATATTTATTCATATAGGGAAGCAAATTGATTGTGGGAGTTGACTGGTCAGCCAAAGATGGAAATCTTGCGTGTGCAGTGAATTTGGAGGGTTGTTTAATGTACTGTAATATACAGTATAAGACTTCGAAAATAGTATCTCTAGGCAAACTAACTGCTACATGTGTAGCTTGCTGTCCCCATGACTCTAGTCTTGTAGCAATAGGTACTAAAAGTGGACTAGTTTATATTGTTCAAAAAGATACAATATTGTATAGAATGAGAGGACACAATGAGGACATAGTTAGTTTATCTTGGTGTCCTTCAGACATGAATGTTTTAAATGGAGGGAATAGGAGAGATTTACTTTTAGCTTCTGGTGCAAAAGATAGGTGAGGCAAAGCTTTTACAAGGTGTATATGTCCTCTGTGTCTCACATACTGAATTTATCAGTTACATGAAATATATATGAATATTTATCTTGTTACATTTAAAAATGTAAGAAACAGATAATTAAAAACTGACTACTGTTATATTTATCTTTTTTATATTCAGATCTGTATTCATTTGGAGAGCCGGTAGAGATGGTAGATATGAGACTGCTTTAAATATACCAAATACGCCTATGGCTATTTCATATAAAAGCAAGCTCAACACTCCAAATGGTACCTGGATTGCAGTATGTTGGGCAGAGCCCAATTTGCTTTTAACTAGTTCTCTTTGGGGTGAACTTCTTTCTTGGGAATTTTCAAAGGGCAGAGAGAAACCCAAGTATAAATTGTTCCATACATTCCATAATAGAGGATTATTTTCGATAGCTGCTGCACCCAATTACGATGGAATATCTGATGATTTGAAAACAAATTCCGAGTGAGTAAACACTATATAAAAGAAGAATTAGAAACATATGAATATTGAAATTTTTCATTATTTTATCAATACTTTAGGCTCAGAGTCTGGTCTTTAGCACAAGATCGCTGGGTTATATGTTGCAAATATAACAGCGATCCTACGAAATCGGTGATCCTGGAGCACAAGATTCCTACACAAGGAGGATTCGTCTACTGTATGAACGCTTGTCCTATTGATACCTCACGTATTGTATTTGGCGTAGGAGACGCGATGCTGCGTCTATGGAACTTATCTGAACCACACACAACGACTTTCGACGTTATTATGCACTGGCAGAAGATAAAGGGAAAAATAAGAGTGGTAAGAAATTCTCTCACGGAACTGTTTTTTAAATGTTTTTACGTGTGAGAAAATGTGATGAATTAGTATCATAAAATATATTCCACCAGGTATCGTGGTTCCCGGAAGATGAATCTATCGTTGCTTTTGGTACTGGAGAGGGTCGCGTTGGCGTGTTTGATGCAATTGGAACCAACAAACAACCTATATTATACCGACAGTATCATCGAAATACCATTTACAAACTCGAATGGGCTCAACTTAAAGCAGAATATTTTTTGTTCTCTTGTGCAGAAGGAGAATTAATAGCTTACAAAAAATCCGCACCGAACAATGGTAAGATGATAATATCCATTGTTTTGTATTTTATTAACGTATTGTATTTTATTAACTTCTATTTCAGAACCTATGTCTATAATAAAGGAAGGATGTTTGGAATTTTCATGGAAATCCAATATATGCTTAGCAGTTGCATTAGAAAATGGGTATATATATATATATATATATATATACATAATTGAAGAAATGCTTTAAATGGATCTTGTTTTTTCAGGTCAATTATGTTCTACGATCAGAAGCTGAGAAAACGTGGCAACTCAATACACATTTTAAGAAATGTGGTGAATTGTTTGGCATGGCATCCCGAAAGTACAATGGCAGATAAATGGATGTCACCGATTGCCAACTATTTGGCAGTTGCATCTGATTCATGTAGTATAATGGTTTTTGATATGTCCAAGCTGATAAAGAAATTGGAAGCGACAGGTACCGAGGACATCATAGAAAACGATCAGGATTGCACGATGCACAAGATAGTAGCAACATTAAACGGACACTCCGATAAAGTGGTGTGCTTAGCTTGGAGTCCACATTTCAGTGGGCATTTAGTGTCTGGTAGCTACGATAATATCGCACAGGTCAAATATACGTATATATTATATAGTGTTAAAGTAATTCAATTATGATGGCATCATAGCTTATCTATCTATTTATTAAGTTTGTAGAATGAAATATGGGTTCTCTCCTTTCCGAAACAGGTTACCGTTCACCTTATAACTCCTTTACTCATAACTTTTAACTCTCCAGTCAACCTCTTACAAAACTGAAGCATACATGAGATGAGAATTAGAGATTCACTGACTACAAGTTGATCGCTCTTGTACAGAGTTATATGTCACCTCTGTTAAACTTGTATTTATCGTTTTTATATATCATACAACATTGTTTTTTAATTATATTATGTTGCAAATGCCAAATTTTGTTTAAATATTATTTTCAGTATGATTTATATCATTATATAATTTTCTTCGAATATCATTTTAGGTGTGGAACGTTGAAAAACAGGAATTGATGGGCACGTATATGGGTCACGATGGACCTGTGCTATGCTGTATGTGGAGTCCTCTCAAACCACAGTTGATAATGACTGGCTCGTCGGACTTTACGCTACACATATGGAATTATACTTTATCAGCACAATCACCGAAGCAACCTTCTGACATTAAGGCTTCGAAGAAAAAACAAAAACAACAGAAGAAGTTGAAAAATAAAACGGATGATCATGAAAATAATTCGACTATATCAACGAATCCTGTTAATCTATCATCTGCTGAAGTAATCGCAAGTAAATAATTTTTTTTTTATACAATCGATATATATGATATACAATTGGCATTGATAATATTCTCAATTTTTAATTGCAGAACTTCAAGTATCACAATCGAAAAAGAAAGATAAAAAATCATACTTTAATAAATATAACAAATTAATAAATGACAAATCTCAAATTCTGAATTTCATCAAGCATGATATAAGAAATAACCAAACCGAAAAAGATGACACTTCTACAAACTTGTCTTTGTTTTGCGAAAAGAAGGATGATTTTTTGACACTCATTTCTAATGAAAGTAAGTTTAAGTATATTATATTAACATTACAATTACATATAGATTGTTACGTGACATTAATGATTTATTATTTATCTACAGAGTTAGCACATGACAATTTAGATATCGTTACTGAATTAAATATGTGGTGTGATGATTTGGAAAGCAATCTAATTTGTGCAGCTAACGATCAACAATTAAATGACTTTTTAGTATCGCTTGCACCTAATGTTTCCTTGAAGTACGTACGAATATTTCAACAAATATAAGACAATTAGTGACTATCGAATACAATCGAAATTGATTTTACAGAATGTGGAGAGAAATGTGCGAGGCGTATGCTCATCAATTGATACTGCAACACAATCCGGAAAAAGCGGTGTCATATTTACTAGCTATACATAAAATTCACGAAGCCGTAGAAGTATTTATAAATGCTAAGCTGTTTAAGGAGGCTTATGCACTTGCGAGATGTAAATTGGATGATGACGATATGTTTTTAAATAAAATATTAGAATCCTGGGCTGAATGGGCCACTTTTAAAGGTCATTTGGAGCAGGCAGCTCATTGGTAAGTTATTTTTTTTTTTTAATTAATATTTTTTATTAATCGTAAACGTTGTAATGTGCCATGAATGAAAATTATATTTTCCATATTTATACGATATAAAAATATTATTTTACATAATATTAAAACACAAATATAAATAATAGCTATAAAAAATTTCTATTAAATTAACTCTTTTGATGTATATATATATATATATTATAGTCACGTAAAATTGGGATCCTTTGACAAGGCAGCAAAGATTCTTTCTCATCGAAAAGACTTATATTGTTTGGAGACAGCATCAGAATTAGCATTTTTAAGTGGCGACGGTTATATTTATATATAAAATCTTCTGTGTAGTATCTAAATGTACACATAGATGCTCATGAGACAATCATGAGTACGTTCTTAGAACAGACCGAGTTCGATCTGATGAAGATGTGGTTGAAAGGAAAGGAAAATAATGGTATACTACAAATTCTTGAGGAAAAATATGGTACTTGTTACTACGGTCTCTTACGAAAGAAAGATGATACCAACATTGTTCTGAGAAATATAACAAACGATAAAGTGGTAAGATATAGAAGATAAAAATAAAAATGATTAGTACACTTTTCGTAAATAATATTTAATAACAATGCTTAATATTTTTCGCGCATAACAAATTTGTATTACATTTCTTTATATTATCTTTTTAGATGCAAATAAATATTAGTTATCAAATTGCCATGGCGGCTACGTCCGATATGAAAGAGATCCGATTGAAACATTTAACAACGGCATTAGGTAATGTGTTCGAATTCGAAAATAGAATATCGAACATCGAAACAACGACAAAAGGATTCTTCACGCATGTTCTCACGAAATTGGATACTAAAAAACGAACGGATGAGGATAGCATTTACGCAAAAAGCGATTATCCTATATCACAGAGTATACGCGCTTATTTATGTATCGGTATTCTGAATTGGTTATTGAAATATTTAGAAAAACTATCGGTTGAAGAAGAATTGCAGTTTACGCAGTTAGTATTAGATTTGCTAGATGATGCCGTAAACGAAACAAATATGTCTCATCAGAATAAGATTTCTAAATATAATCAATTGGAGGATCAACTTATGGCTCTTGCCGTAAGTCATGAGGGTTAGTTCTTTTTTCTAATCTGTTAGATTTGTTTAGCATACGATTGTATACATATAGCAATGATAGATTAATAATAATTTATTGTTTTACACGTATATAATATGTTTTAAATATATATGTTCCAGTGGAGACAAAAGACAAGATCAAAAATGATGATGAATATAGGAATATTGAGGAAGAAGCAGAGAAGCTCAAACTCGATATAAATAAATTCAATGAAGATCGAGTTTACATACCTGATCCTAACATCGTTCTTCAGAAATCTTGTTTTTTACTTGCTAAGAAATTGAGAGATAATAACAAAAAACAACTTTCACGATTTTTAGATAAATTTGGAGAAGACATAAAAACGTTTGAAGAAAATTTGCAATCGGAAAATGTCTTATTAGAGTATAACTGATTAAATAAATGAAACAGTTTCAAATACAAATGTAAAGAAAACTTGCAGAATAGATTTTTATATCGTTATAAATGATAAGCTACGCATGATAAATTTCATATATATTGTAAATCTTGTAATTATACAGTTCATTATAAAAATACATTTTCTTTTTTACGCATTTTTACGCAAGTGTAAAATTTTTTACCTCCAAAGATTTATATGTATATATATATAAATTAATTTATCGCATATATATAATAAGAGAATATACTTCCAATGAAAATCAAAATATGTATTATTAATGTGTTGTGTATAAAAATTAATTCTTAATCAACTTATAAAGAAACATTAAAGCATAATAAAAAAAAAATTATCTAAATCGCTATATAACATCCTAAGTTCTGAAAAGTCAGAATTTCATTTATCCACAAAATTGTATTCGATGTATACTAATTTACATTTATTCTCCAGAAACATAGTTCTCTGTCACTTCCAGCACAGACATATGGTAATTTATAATGCCATGTCATACCACCAATTAACTTTACCTTTCCACACAATACTACTACTTTCGATTTTAAATTAACAACCTTCAATAAATTATCCGGCCATCCGATACTTGATACCAGATTTTCATTCGCATGTGAGATTTTCACTGTTAAACCACCTTCCACATGAAGTGTCCGCTCATCAAGAGGACGACTAGAATTGGAAATGAGTACATAAAATAAATTTAATGAAAACATGAACCAATAAGCTATTTCTTTTAACTTTCCTTTTTTCACGTTGGAGAAAAAAAGTGAACTGTGCAAGAAGTTCAGCTAAAAAGAACAGATCCAATATGATACAAAAGGATTTAAAATTAAATGTTTTATTACCTGGGTCTGGACACATCCCAAAGCAGCAATTCTCCAGCAGCTATCGATGCAACTTTTAAGGGATTGGGTCCCCAGTCAGCTGCAGTCAAGGGAACAACCCCTGAATCAAGGGACATAATAGCTTGATGACTTCTGACATTGTACATACGTATTAAACCGTTCTTTTCTGCTACTAAGAGTTTGCCAGACTCTTCATTATGCCAACATACGCTAGTCCCAGGTGACGTTAAATAAAATGTAGACACGCACTTTTGGTTCTCTTTAACTGCCCACAGCTTACATGTATGATCGTCAGAGACTGACGCCAATAATTCACCTTCTGGTTCATAGGAGATTGCGTTCATATAATCTTTATGGCCTTCTAAAATCTTTAAAACATTTGTTACACTATCGGATTTAATAGCATTATAAACTTACACTTAAAGTATTCCTACCTCAAACATATTGACGTCATTTAGATTGCTATTGTACAATCTTATTTTGAAATCTGATCCAGCAACGCAAAATGTGACAATTTTGGGGACAATACTCAGGGAAGTTTCTGGGCTCCAAGCGATCGCATGGGGCCTGGCATCGTGATGAAACGTTCTAATAGGACTGTATGCCATGTCTTCCACAGCGTCATCTTCATCCTGTTATTTAAAGTTTGTTAAAATAGAAATTAATAAATTTGGCTTTGTCTATATGTATATAAATATTTTATATCAAGATAACGACATCACACTTGCTTACTTTGGTTTAACAAAGTTATCTCGTAACAACACAGGTTTACAATCTTATTTTTAATGCGAGTTAATAAGACACTGTAAAGCACGCAACTTCGAGTTCGTGCAGATTATAAGTAAAAAGAGTTGAATCTTACTTGTCAGAATGAAAAGGAATGTGTCAAGAACTGAGTTAAGATGTCACAAATGAAAACTATCCAAAATTTAATATAAGTGAGAAGCAACTATAATTTTTATTTTTATCAATATATTGACAATTTCTAGCAAAACTAAAAAAAGTTGTGACAATTCTCATCGATGGACTCCTCGCACAAACCTGAAATCTGACAGTACCAACGACGATCTCCTTGGCGAGGGCGATGCAGATCAAATGCTGCGACCACTCGTACGGCGAAAATTCTACACAGTAAATCCGTTCTGAGAAACTCCGTTTAAATGTAGGCGGCGTGGTGACTGCCTCGTCCATCCTATCTCTCTCGTCCTCGATATGTAGATGTGTGCACGAATAGAAAAGGAGCCGGCATAACCTACAAGACGCGAGATAGGTTAGTTTTGTGGGACTTTATCATGATCGATCGATTATTAATGTAAGGAAAAAAAAGAGAAGGATTACAAACACGCGATATAAATAGAACAAGGAAACCAGTGAAATAAGAATAGATTGAACCACAACTTGTTTTCTCACCGCGATCCAGAAGGGAAGAAAAGCGTGTGTACATACACACGTCTGGTATCGAGTTAGGTTAGGTTAAATCGGCGGCAGCGGCGGCACGGTGCCGTCGAGAGGGCAGCACGTGACTCGTGTATGCGATCGTCCGGCCAGCGTGCCACTGCCGCATTCTCCGGAAAAGTGTTGTGTGACGAGCGTAGCACGCGATCGTCGCATCGCGCGCGTTGATTTTGCGATTTTTTTTGTTCCCCTCCCGAAGACGGACCCAGGTATGAATTGACGCGCGGCGCGACGCCGGAGAGAATCCCGCGCCGTCCACGCGGCCCCCGCCAAGTTCCGTCTCGTACCGCAGTTTCGCGTCAGTTTGGTGAGTAAGTACGGGAGCAAGTGAGCGAGCGCGTGCACGCGACAAGCTGCTTCTTCCACGCGTGTTTGCGCTGCGTGTGCTCGCGCGTGTCCGCCTGTGAATTTTCCCCGATTGAAGGACACGACCTCGCCAACGACGAGCGCAACGCCCGTCGCCGCCGATTTTCTTGCGTACGCCCTCGCGGATGCAGCGTGAGCGAACCTCGTTTCGATTATTTATACCGGCTTCCAGATTGATGTTCCGTTAACATATCTTGCATCAGCTTCGCAAAATTACGCGAAACATTGATATGTACTAATTCAGAGCCAGTCACCGAATAATTCAATCTGTTTTCGTTAAACAAGCTCGGGGAAATCATTAAAATAAATTTGTTTGATTGCGTATTTTTATGTATTTATTATGATGATATTAGATATTTTCAATTGCTAATTATTGAGAAAAATTTTTGTGCAAGAATTTTTGTTCAATCTTTTTCGTTACAAGCAGTACACATATGTTATTAATTATTGTAGATATAACAAAATATTTTTATTCTCTGTTTATTTTCTCTATATTTTCCTTGATTTGATAAAAAATAAAAAGATAAAGTGGTTGTTAAGATATTATGTAACAAGCATTACTTATTATAGTTAAACATATCTGCCTCATATTTCAGCGCTAGTAGGAATGGAGTTCGGAGTAGGCGATGTCGCCCAAATATCGGCAGAACTGGCTCGAGTGATCGAAATGATGATGTCACCTGGTATATCTCAATCGCAACGCCTGGAGATGTACAATGCCTGTGAGAGGTTCAAGGAATCTTCACCGTTATGTGCGCAATGCGGCTTGTACTTGGCACAGAAATCACCCGAGAGGAGCTCAGTGGTGCGCCACTTTGGTTTGCAGTTGATGGAGCATTGTGTGAAGTATCGATGGACACAAATTTCTCAGTCAGAAAAGATTTTCATCAAGGAGAATGCGATGAAATTACTTCAAGAAGGCACCCAACCACTGTTGCAGGAAGAGGCACATATAAAAGATGCTCTGTCGCGTGTCGTAGTTGAGATGATAAAGCGTGAATGGCCTCAACAGTGGCCCACATTGTTAGCCGAGCTCAGTCAGGCTTGCACACAAGGCGAGAGCCAAACTGAGTTAGTCCTGTTGGTATTCCTCAGATTAGTAGAAGATGTAGCACTCCTGCAGACACTTGAATCAAATCAAAGAAGGAAAGATATATATCAAGCGTTGACTACGAACATGGCCGAAATCTTTAGCTTCTTTCTGAGACTAATGGAGCAACACTTTTCAGAGTTTCAGAAGAAAAGTGCCTTAGGACAGACATCTGAAGCTGCGGCACATAGTAAAGTCGTTCAAGTAGGTTTTTATGAAAAGGATGCATGTCCTGTCTAATGATTGTTTTTTCAATTAAAATTTGTATCATTATAACAGGTAGTGCTATCCACGTTAACTGGATTTGTCGAATGGGTTTCTATAAATCATGTAATGGCCGAGGATGGAAGATTGTTGCAGATATTATGCCTCCTATTGAGAGATCCTATATTTCAGTGTTCTGCTGCTGAATGTCTGCTTCAAATTGTAAATCGTAAAGGCAAGGCCGAAGATCGAAAGCAATTGATGATCTTATTCTCAGAAGAGGCTTTGAGATATATTTATACTGCAGCCACTGCTCCACCGCCTCTGGCTGGACCTACAAATTTCCATGAAAATCATTACTTATTTTTAAAGAAGCTCACACAGGTATTTGTTATAATCGCATTATTAATATTCGATAAAGATATTTCATCTTGTAATTTCAGCAGCTATGAAAAATCGATCATCATTCGTGTGATTGTTATTTCAGGTACTGACTGGTATGGCAACACAACTTTGCGCCTTGTGGGGAAAAGATGATGCCTCTAGCATACGGCCGACGCATTTCAATCTCTTTCTGGATACCGTGCTCACGTTCACCATGTATCCGAGCCTTACGCTCACGCATTTAGCGAATGTGATTTGGGTAATGCTGTTTAAACACGAACAGATCAAGACAGACTCGTTATTGCTTACATACGTGCCCAAGTACGTGGAGCATACCGCACCTAAGTTGATCCGCGTTACATATCCACATGGTAGACAAAGTAACGGCATGACCACATACTGCCTCGTTGATTATGACTCGGAGGAAGAATTTAACGTTTTTCTGCATCGCTTCAGAATGGATTTGTTAGAAGGATTTAGACACGCAACTATGGTGGCACCTTTAGTAACGTTTACATATGTACAACAATGGCTGACCGCGAAGATCACCAAGGGTATGGCAAACCTGCAGTACAAGAGCGATCAGAACGATCGAGAGTATCTTGAATGGGAAGCCCTCGCGCATGCATTAGACTCTGTTGTGTCCAGGATCTTGCTAATC